GGTCAACCCTCTCCTCAAGGATCTTCAAAGTCTCATCGACATCGCCGGCCTGGATGCGGGACTCCAATTGTAAGACATGAGTTTGGCTATCTGGGACGAGACCCCACTGGCTCGTGAGTGCCATGAAATCAGAAGCCAACTGCGGATTCTGCAAAGCGTTTGCATACTGAATAAGGTTATTGACAATGTCAATGTTGATGTGTCCCTTGAGCTGAGAATTCTTCGCAGTCCACGCATCAACCTTGTGTGCAAGAGCAGAAGCATTGCTGCCCTTTGCTGCTTCCCATAGTAAAAGGATGCCAATGGTTTCTTCTTTGGGCTCATCGGGGAGTGACTTGAATATCTCTTCCGCCAATTCGACCCGGGAATTCAGAAGATAGTGCTTAATGAGAGCCTCTCTCGCAGCCATGGACGGTTCTGAGCCATCGGTAATTGGGGAATCGTAGACAGTTTGGGCCGCTTTCCACTGACCGTGGCCAACGAGAAATTTAACTAGCTCTCCGTGCGAGGCTTGGTCAAACTTGTTGCCATGGTTTCCCCACTCATCGACAATCTTCCGCACCTGTCGAAGATCGTCCTTCATGGCAAATCCTTTCATAATTGTGAGCCAGGGCGATGGGACAGCTTTACTCATTTGACCCCAAAACTTCAACAAGGTATGTCTAGCATCCTCGGGATTGCCATTCATAGCCAATATATTGATATAAAGACCAAGGGCCGGCCGGCTAATCTTCCCTGTACCAAATCCATGATCAAGGTTCAATTCTTGATATGCGTATCGGGCAAGGTTTATGACAACTTCACGAGCTTGCGGGACACATCCAGACTCTGAGAGCACATCTAACACCTTTTCGAGGTTCTCAATCGAGAAAACATTCTGCCAATCTTCTTCTTCCATCTCGCCCTGCTGAGCCCTGAGATGTTTGAAGGTGACGATCAGCGCACGGGCTTGGAAATGGCTGATGAGCATTGGTGTTTCAAGTCGCATTGTGAAAAAGGTTTGGAATGCTTTTGCGAGAATATCGCTCGGGGGAGCTCTGCTTCTATCTTTGAGTGCCCTCATCAAGTCAGCCATTGGTTTCAGGCCTTTTTCAGAAGGCAGAGTCGATTGTGACCGCTCAGGGTCTGAGCTGAAAACAAAGAGGTTGCGTCGCGATGTATAAGGAAGGCTTGACATGGCCGGTCGTACACGGGAAAGGGTGATATTGTGCAATAGGCGGTTCCGATGGCATTGGGAGAAACGAAGCGGTTCATTGTTGATGATTGCCCGGAAGACCCGTCTCGTGAGATGGGACTGCATTATGAATAATGTGGACTAAGCTTTACAAGCTCAGATTAAGCAAAAAGTGATGGATAGAAAGGCTTAGTCCCAATTTGACTCGCAATCTGCATGAAATCGTGAAAAATGGGGGCTCGCGACGCGGCGAGATCTGGAGGCGGAAGAAGTCTTGGCAAAAAAAGATCTCATCTCCGCGTTGCCCGGTCTCCCTATCACCGTCTTCGACATCTACAACCAATCAGGGATTGAAAGATCAAGATGTCTTTGAACCTCTTTTCCTCGTCATCCTTGCTACGCAATGCCGCGACTACAGCCAATGTCGGCCTGTCGCTCTGCCGCTGGAGCTCGACCGCTGCCATGAGCGCCTTCACTTCCCAGCGCGGCACAAGCTCACAGAGTATGTGATGGTACCCGATACACTGATATGATTCATTTGTTGTCTCATTCTATGATATGACCCCGTACTGGTTTGAGTGTGACTGACGATTAACGTGTTGCGATAGCCTCCCAAGTGGTCCAGCGACGCCGTTTACCAAGTCGCCTGAAGTTCCTCGAGGACCAGAAGGCGCAAGGCGAGAGCCGAGCCCTTGAAAGATACCAAACCCGGGACTTCAAGGCTGGAGACATCTACTCCCCTCATGATCTTAGCCCTGCCGAGATGAAGAAATGGGGAAAGCGTCAGAACCCTTCAAGAGATGCTTTCGATGCATTGAACCTGAATCCTATTGATTTGTACAAGGTATGGAGCCCTCGAGCCAATTGATATAATTTTTTTCGGTATGGCACACATAGCATGATGAACGGTCAACTGACATTTCCTCTTATCACCACAGAACTTCTCTGTCATGTCCGAATATATGACCAGCATGGGCCGTATCAAGCCCCGAGCTATCACCGGTCTTCGTCCTGTTAACCAACGCAAAGTTGCTAAGGCGCTCCGGAGAGCCATCGGCATGGGCCTTATGCCTAGTGTTCACCGACACCCCGAAATTATCGCAGCTGAGATGCGGGCACGTATGGAGGGCCCTGGAGGTTTCTAAGCTGAGCACATATCACTTTGGAGTCATTGTTTTTGGGATCTTAAACATATTTTTGGGAGATTCTCTTGTACAAGTAAGGCCGTTGGAAGTTGGAAGGGGCACGACTTAGTGTATTATTACTCTTAGCGTTATGCATTGATTTTATTGAGAGCTATGACTTTTGACTTCCTTTGTGCCGGAATACTTTAAACCCATCAGATTATCTTGTATATGTATTGACACGCATATTTCTCTTTTCTCCTGTCAATGCTTGTTTGATGTAGACAAGAGGTGGCTGTGTTCCCCGCTATTAATTGTGGTGGCCCGAGTACGTCAGTCGATAAACAGTGGACTAGTCTACAGGACTTTCCTCTGCTTTCCCCCAACTTCTCAGCTTGAGTGTGCACACCCTAGCAATGTCACTAACGAATGGTGAGAACTCAACAGCCTCATATTATCTTTTATCAGTCTAACATATCCAAAGAGTCTATTTGGGCTCCTAGCCCCTCTACCACCCGCGGCCAGCCCACCCAACTCTCTTCTGATGCTAAAGGCGAGCGATTGGCCTATGCAGTATGCGGCTCGATGAAAATCTTGTAATAACACTGCCTTCTTCTGACAAAAGCAATCATAGTCCAACAAATCCATCTTCCTGCGCTCAATCGATGACCCCGCAGTCGCTAGGCAGTACACCGAACACAAGGCGCAGACAACTGTCGCACGCTTCGCCCCCTCCGGTTTCTACGTTGCAAGTGGTGACGCTGCTGGAATTGTGAGAGTATGGGATTGTGTCGGCGAAGGAATCACCAAGGGTGAATACAGCATTGTCAATGGTCGAATTAACGATTTAGCTTGGGACGGTGACTCCCAGCGGATTATTGCCGTCGGTGATGGCAAGCAGCGATATGGACACTGTATCACGTGGGATAGTGGAAACACCGTTGGCGAGATTCACGGCCATACGCAACAGCTCAACACTGTGTCTATTAGGCAGCAGCGGCCTCTGCGCGCTGCCACTGCTGGTGATGACAGGAAGACGGTCTTCTACCACGGAGCGCCGTTCAAATTCAACAACGGAATTGCCGACAAGCATTCAAACTACATCTACGGAGTCGGCTTCAGCCCGGATGGTTCGCACTTAGTCAGTGTTGGCGCAGATCGGAAGATCTGGCTCTACGACGGCAAAACAGGCGAAACGAAGGGTCAGATCGGCGAAGGAGAACACAATGGCAGTATCTTTGGTGTTTCCTGGGCCAAGGACTCTCGAAAGTTTGTTACCGCAAGCGCGGACCGGACCGTCAAGATCTGGGACGTGGAGGCTGGCAAAGCAACACAGACCTGGACCTTAGGAGAAGAGGGTGCCATGGCTGTTCGCGACCACCAAGTTGGCGTGGTCTGGCCCCCGGGAAGAAGCGATAACCTGCTTATCAGTTTGTCTCTCAGCGGAGATTTGAACTACCTGGTTGAGGGAACTCCCGAGCCCCGGCAGGTTGTCTCGGGCCACCAGAAGAGCATCACCTCCTTGACACAGACCACTGTGGATAACAAGGAAACTTTGTGGACAGGCAGCTTTGACGGAAGAGTTTGCAATTGGGATGTAGCTTCAGGGAAGGCCGAGGAGATCGAGGGAGACGCCCACCCCGGTTACGTCGCCGGACTTGCAACTACAGCAGAGGGAAGCGGTAGAATATACAGTGTCGGCTGGGACGACACTCTCCGTTCTGTCGATGCCGCTGCTAAAACATATACTGGCAGTGCTTCAAAGCTCAATGGACAGCCGAAGGGCGTTGCGGCTGGTGACTCGACCGTGCTTGTGGGCGAAGCCGAAACCGTCGAGATTTTCCAGGATGGCAAGAAGACCGGAGAATATAAAACAGACTTTGTGGCTACAACTGTAGCTGCTTATCGCTCTCAAGCAGCCATTGGAGGTGAGAATGGATCTGTCCAGATCTGTGCCATCTCCAGCTCTCGGCTTTCTCCCCGGGCAGACATCAATGCCTCTCGCAATCCAATCTCTGCTCTTGCCTTCTCCCCAGACGCCTCCCACTTGGCCGTTGGTGACTTGCGGGGACGTGTCTTGGTTTTCAAGGTCGCCGATGGCAGTTTGGTGACAGACCGCTGGACGGCGCATACTGCACGAATCACATCACTTGCCTGGAACGAGGCTGGCTCACATGTTGTGAGTGGATCGTTGGACACAAATATCTTTGTTTGGAGCTTAGCTAAGCCAGGCGACTGGATTGAGCTGCAGAACGCCCACAAGGAGGGTGTGCATGGTGTCGGATGGGTTGCAGGAGGCTCTAAGATCATCTCAGCCGGTGCTGATGCAGCGGTGAAGGTGTGGAAAGTGGAAGGCTTGCAATAATTTTCAAGTGGCTGTGATTTTGTTTTGCTACAGAGTTACAAACATTCAGAGTTTTGCTTTGTTACCGGAAATTTGAGATTAATACTAAGTCTCCCGAATTGTACTCTGTAGACAAGCTAAAGAAAGCAAAACAAAGAGGTGCGTGGCAATGGAAAGTAGGAAGTGGCCGTAATTGCCCAATCGTAGCCGCCAACATTAACCTGCATAGCTCTCTGCGTCTCCGCACAACCTTCTCTGGTTTAAATATTGGAAGCCTGACCAAGGGCGAATCATCTTATTTGTGCCATGGGGCTTGTACAATGCCCTAAGTCCACGTGAAGTACGTGAAACCTCGAAGATGCCGGCTGGAACTCCCAGCAGCTCCCGCCGCTCGCGCCCAACGGTATGTACTAGCATTCTCCGACTATAGAGATATACTAATCGTCGTTGAAGCTCCGCAATGCTACATTTGTTCTTCCCAAAACAGGCCAACGCCTGAGAGGCCTCGTTAACCTCCGAGACCCCACGCCCATACCCGACGACGAGAACGATGAAAGGCGCGGCCTCCTCACAAACGAGATCCAACATTACGAGGGGTATTTTGACGCGCTAAAACGCCGTACACACGATAAATGGATGCAAACAAATCAGTTCATTAGGTCAGAACCGGGGATTGGGATCTTGAAGTACAGTCTTGCCTATTTGGCCGGATCTCTTGCAACCTTTATCCCTGCAGTCTCAGCCTTGCTGGGCCATCAGGATGGGAAGCACATGGTGGCTACGGTGACGGTCTACTTTCATCCGGCCAGGTCTCAGGGTGGGATGTTCAAGGCATTAATCTGCGCGTTCCTGGCGTTCTGCTATTCTTCCCTCTTGACTATTACCAGCATGTTCGTGGAGATGTTTTTTCAGGACACATTGGAACTGCCTGTTCTTGGCCACGCGGTGGTTTTGATAGTATTTTGTGGCGGTGGGCTTGGCTTCGTGGGTTGGACCAAGCAACGACTGGGAGATCCTCTGGTGAACGTTGCCTGTTCACTCACTTCTCTAGCAACAATCACCATCTTGACCAAGGAAGGTGCTGTGCAAAGCGGCGACTTGTCCCTTGCCAAGATCTTCCAGGTCTTAAAGATGGTCGTAATGGGCGTGATAGCCGTCATGGTTGTTTCATTTTTCGTCTTCCCCATATCAGCGCGTCAAAAGCTGCGCTCGAACCTCGTCACGGTCACTGATACATTGGCCCTCATGATGGCACTCATCACAGAAAGCTTCCTGAGCGGGACTGAAGAAGTCCTTAGCTCGGCTGAATTTGTTGATGCCGAGGCAAGGCATCGCAAAGCCTATAGCCAGCTCGACAGGCTCGTGCGAGAAGCTAAACTTGAGCACTATGTAGCAGGCACCGAAAAGAGTACAGACTCGAAAAGAATCTCGTCCGATGGGTGCAGGACATCACCCATAACATGGGAGGCCTTCGTAATGCAGCTGCTCTCCAGTTTAGTTTGATTCGTGAGACAATTGCCCGTGAATCTGGCTCTCCGGAAGATCAGCAGGGTAGCTCGACTCATGTTGATTATTTCACACCCCTCGAACGATCCTGGTCATTCCCCGATGGGTCCTTTTTGGAGCCCATCGTTGAGAGACCAGAGGAGGAACTATCTCCAGGCGCTTCTATACGTTCTCACCAGCTTGGAAGTGGTGAATCGACACCCAGGCCCACACTTCTTCCGGCGGATATCTTCACTATCTTCATCTCTCACTTGGGTCCATCAATGGTAAGTTGAACCCAAGAAGTATTTGACACAATTCAGGACTGACTGGAAGTAGCGATCGTTGGCCTTTACATTGAAAGAGATCTTCAAGGAGATTCCATTTGGGCCTGCACCGAACTACAGGGTCTCAGTGAATGGTCGACTGCGAATCAGTCTTGACAGGGCGCTTGATCTTTACAAAGAATCGCGCCAGGCCACGCTCGCATCCCTGTATCAGCAGAAAGAAACCATGAAACTTAAGACCCGCGAAGCCGAGGCCGATCTTGAGGAAGTATCAGCCAGCTGTAGCCATTTTAGTTTTTCACTCCTCGAATTTGGAGAGCAGCTCAAAGAGATGCTTTCCATTTTGGATGAGCTGCAGCTGGAAGTCGAAGAGCGGCCTAATGGGCGAACCTGGTCATGGCTCAAAGTGTGGCAGTGGTCAAGGACTACAGAGGCTGCTAAATTGGCCTCCTTTGGTGCTGGTACGTATGTCTCCACATAGCAATCCTTGCGACCATGGATATCACGTTAATGCCCCATAGAACCAGCTTCCAGGTATTTCGATTTACCCGCTACCGAGCAGGACCTCCATAGTCATGCTAGACATGCATCAGATGGATTGATTGCACATGATAGACTCCCTGTCAGTGTTCAGATACAAAAAGCCCCTTCAGCAAAAGAAACAACAAAGCAAAGACTCGGTTACCGTTTATGGAAATGTCTTGGGTTCTTCAGGCGAGATGATACGAAATACGCGATCAAGGTTGGGGCAGGAGCTGCAATCTACGCTCTACCTGCTTTCCTTCCTTCAACCCGTCCGTTCTACGGACGTTGGCGGGGAGAATGGGGCCTGTTGTCCTACATGCTGGTATGCTCAATGACAATCGGGGCTTCGAACACGACGGGGTATGCCCGGTTTCTTGGCACTTGCTTGGGGGCAGTCGCTGCTATTGTGGCATGGAAGATCACCGCTGGGAACGTATTCGGTCTTGCATTCTTGGGATGGATAATGGCCGTCTGGACTGGATACATCACTATTGTTCGTGGAAATGGGCCCATGGGCCGGTTCATCATGCTCACTTACAACCTCTCCGTTCTATACGCCTATTCCCTCTCTCAGAAAGGGGCAAACTTCGATGAAGACGAAGGCGGTTCTAATCCAATCATGACTGAAATTGCACTTCATCGGGTTGTTGCTGTGTTTTCTGGGTGCATTTGGGGGGTCATCATCACTCGAATGATTTGGCCCGTCAGCGCAAGACGTAGGCTCAAGGATAGTCTGAGTCTTCTCTGGCTGCATTTGAGCCTTATCTGGAAGCGTGACCCACTCTCCACTATGGCGAAGGATACAAGATCTATTTTATACATGAACCCCCGAGAGAAGCTTGAGATTGAAAGATTTTTGTCGCGATTGGAGTCTCTTCAGGCTGCAGCAGGCTCTGAATTTGAACTGAAGAGTGCGTTCCCTGAAGTCTCGTATGCCAGGATTGTTCGCCGTACACGCAGCATGGTGAATTCTTTCCATACCATGAACATCGAGCTGATGAAGAACGACATGGCTACTGAAGGTGAAATCAGCCTTCTTCAATACACAAAATCGGAACGACACCAGCTATCTGCTCGCGTGAGCCATCTATTAACAGGTCCGTTCTTTTGCAACCGTGGGCTTGATACTGTGCTGACTATCCTTTAGTGATTGCTTCGTCAATGAAACTCGAGTACCCTTTGAGTGATGTGCTCCCTAGCATTGAGCATGCCCGAGACCGGTTGCTTGCTCGCATCTATCGCTATCGCCTGGATCGTCAAGCATCTCAACAGACCACAGATGAGGACTGTGCTTTGCTTTACGCCTATAGTGAGTATTTGTTTGGCTTCTCGTTATATTCTGTGGGATGTACTGACCCATGTACTTCTAGTTTTGGTAACAGGCCAATTATCGAATGAGATTACGGAGATCATTGCGGAGATTGGACAACTCTTTGGAGTATTAAATGAAGATGTAGTGCAGCTAGCATAAAAACCTAGGGAATGAATTTGAAAAACATCTAAAATAGCCATTGCCGTAGAGTAAGGTAATATCTTCAAACATGAAAGGGCACAAGTTTGGCGCACATCGATGTATCCGTTTCTGGCTTCTGGCGGGGAACCGCAAGTCGGAACCTCCCTTCCACCCAAACCCATCGCCATCTCTTTCATTCCATCAATTTTCATCTTCAGTTCCCCAGATTCTCTTATGAAAGTATCGTCTCTTCATCTTTTTCTAGTTTGAACCCTAGAATCCTCCTTGATGAAGGCGTAGGTGCCAATATTCCCTGCCCTTCGGCGTCGACCGTCGCGCTCTCGCAAGTCCAGCAACCATGCAGATTGATCCGGCAGCTCTGAGTCGGAGTGACTCTGTCTCAAATCCAAAGGGCGCCGTGCTCAATGGCTCAGTATCCGCAAAGACCTCCAGAGCTCTGATATCGGTGCCGAGGTTGGAGCTGGAACATGCCTACACGGACCTGAAGACCGCCATCGGAGACAAGTGGGCCGAGTACAAAGAGGCCACAGCTCTGTTCTTACTAGGTACGTCGTGATGCGCATGGAATTCCTGGTCAGAAAGCGAATGCTTGAGCTCCGCGGAGGCTGTTTCCCCCTTCTCCTCTACATACTGGCCCCCGGTTCGATCATCTCCTGACCGCTTGGCCGATTATAGGACATTACAACCAGAGTGAATACGCGTCACGGGTCGACTACTTCTTGTGCGCCGATCCTAAAAACGAACATCTACATAACAATTTCGTATGCGCGCTTATCGGAAACCTCACGCGCGACCTCCCCGATCATGGCGTCGCAAATTGGGTATCGGCCAATGATAAACCATCAACAGTGTCAAAGCCCGTCTCCGGAGATGCTGCTGAACAAAGACTGAAGACGGAGGTCATGAAATTACCTCCAAGGGATCGTCGGCGCATAAAGGGAATACCAGAAGTACGTAGTCGCAAACGATGACGAAAACCTTCACCCCCAGAAACAGAGAGCTAATGGTCACCAGCGAGACCCTAATGAAAAGGTGCCCACGGAGCTCGAAGAAAGCTATTTAGCTAAGCAATTCAAATTGCCCAGCCAGGTTCCCGCAAGTGCAGGCGGGCTTAACAAGACTAGTAAGGCGACACCTTTCCCATCGAACTCGAGATATCCTCTCCGTTCCCGTGGTCCCTTGTCAGGAAAAATTGCCTAACCATCCTCCTCCGTTACAGACTGGGAACTGGAAATCCGAAAACGATATGCCCAACCCCTCGCCGCAGAGACAGGCGAGTTCCCTGATGCCGAATCCATCCATGCCCGCATGGTTCCCATATGTTATGAAGAGTCTCTACCCAGCGGTGCCGGGCTTCCGTGTGCTGAGTTTATGGCAATTGCGACAGAAACATTCGTGAAGGAAGTATTATCGGCGGTATTTTCGCGAACCCGTTCGAATGGCCCGTCCGGTACAATCAATAACATGATGATGCGCCAGTACCGACATCAACTAGAAGTCGAAGAACTTGCATACACACGTGGAGAGATCGCGAAAGACGCTGCCACAGGCCTACTCCCCGTTGAAGCGAGAGAAGCCAACCTTCGAAAACCATTGGGCGTCAGAGACCTACGGTTAACCTTGGAACTTGGCGGCGGTGTCCTCGGGCACATGCCGCTCATCGTAGACCAGATCATGAACGGATACTTCGAAGACGAACTCGAGACTGAAAGGCACGATCGGTTGGAGAATGGCGTTGGTGAACCACATCAGGAAATCAAAGCCGACGAAGACGAGATGGACTTGGACGATGATGAAGACGGTTCTCTGCTAGACTGGGAAGGCGGCACACTTGATGATCGAGATCAGTTGAGCTCTGTACTCGACGAGTGTCTGTCCATGGCTGCATGAGAATTTTATACCCCCCTGTCCTTTTTTTTTTCACTGTTTGTCATACATGCTACATTACATGCTTTTTTCTCTTTTATTTTTTTATATCTGTTCTGGTTTCCACTCACGGGTTGGATGGTGGCTCAAGGCGTCTGGGTACTACCAAGGGAGGTGATCACTATTTGTGGCGCCACATGATTTGCATATTGATTTGGAGTTTGAAGATATTGTCCTATCCGTTCTCGACCGCCTGTCTTGTCCTATGTTTCACCTTCCTATCTTGGCCATGTACAGTACTTTTTAAGGGACAGGGCGAAGCGGTCGATATCTGGAGGATGATGGGAAATCTCAAAACGAACAGACCTCAAAACTCGCATGGCCATGACCCCTGTTGTAGGTCAAGCTTGTTTCAATACCCAGGAATTCTACTTTACAATTTGGTTATCTTGGGACATACTTACACATTAGGAGACTGAATTTTTACATAAAACATGAGTCGGACAGAGACGTATATCCCTGTTGAAGATTGAATTCCATGGACGCTGTGCCCCCGAAACGCCTGTAGACAATACACCAAGAATACGTCCGTTAGTTGATTGTATTTGCGACGAGCTTCAAGATCTCCTCGGTGGACTTGTAGGCATTGGCCGGGTCCTTCGCGATGGATTGCCAGAATTCACCGTGCTTGGGTTCCATCGAGATGCACTTCGACACGACATCTGATCGTTTTTCCTGTACATGCATGTCAGCTGGATGTTCCAATGATAAAATAGAGCCCAAATGATAAGTGAAAAGAAAGGAGCAACCAACCTCAGTGCCATGCTGCATAAGAAATTTGTAATACCAAGCCCAGCCATCACCATAATCACTGTCCGAAACGATCGCCTTCTCGAACCAGGTCATGGCCTTCTCCAACCGACGCTCGCCCCAGAAGATACGCGCGACAGTAATGAACAGAATAGGATCGTTCTCAACCTTCTTGATAGCCTCCAGACTGCGCGCCTTGCGCTGGGCGCGAGGCTCGAGATGCCAGATACTTTCGCTCCACAGAAGCCCTGATGTCGGGACTTCCTGGATCGCGCGCGCCATCAGGACCTTGGCCTGCGCGATATTGTTGGCGCGACGTTCAACGCGCACACTTTCAGTCCAGAGCTCTGCACTTTTGGGGACGGCCAAACGGGCCTTGTCGAGGATGGATCGGGCTCGGACCACGGCGCCTGCTTTTTCTTCCAGTCGCGAAGCAAGCAGCCATAGCGCAACGGACTTGGGGCAAGCTCGGGTGCCTGTTCCGTATGCCTCGCGCGCCTGCGGGAATTTCTTTTGCGCTTCGTAGATTTGGCCCTTCATCATCCAGAGCTTGTCGGCCTTCGGGAATAGTTGCAAGCCCTGGTTGACTAGATCCAGCGCGTCGTCGATATTGCCGAGCTGCCGCTCGAAAGCAACGCTCTTGGTCCACACGCGATCTGTACCGGCTTCACGGCGAGCGGTGGCCAAAAGCTCTCTCGCTTGGTCGGTCTTTTTAGCATCGGCCTCTAGCTTAACAGCAGCCAGCCAGATATCTTCGTTGTTGGGGTTTTGATTAAAGGCACGGCCGAGGACTCGTCGAGCATCGTCAATATCTCCAGATTGCCATTTTTCCTTGGCAAGAAGAAGCCAGAGCTCCTCACTCTGGGGGCATGCTTCCACTGCCTTCTCCAGAACCTGCCAGAGAGCTTCTTTGGTGCCATGGTTGCGTTCCAGGTCCGCTGCTGCTAGCCAGATTGATCGGCGATTCACAAAGACCCGGAGAGCGTAAGCGTAAATTGCCCGGGCAGTTTCGTAGTGACCACGGGCAATACTGGCCTTTGCATCATCCATCCAGATATCTTTTCGGTCATCATCCTCATCGAGGCCCCATCCAAGAGTCTCTTGGATGATACCGCCACATGTAAGGACAGCGCCTTCGGCTTCGCATTTCTCAGCTTCGGTGATCCATTCCTCTCTCTTCAACATAGCATTCTCTCGGGCCAGAGACTGAACAGCACGCTTCATGACATTGACCTTCGCGAATGTACCCATCTGCTCCTGGAGCCGAGCTGCAGCAATCCAGATCTCATAGCTAGTAGGAACCGCTTTGCGAGCAGCATTCAAGACTTTCTGTGCATTCTCTGGGGTTTCAAGGCGAGCAAGGGCAAGCCACAACTCAACTGACAGAGGAATGATTTCAACGGCCTTTGCCAACAGCAAGCGCGCATCGGCTGGATCGTCTTCTAGATTGACAGCTTCTTTCCAGATCTGCACCGATTGGGGAATGTGCAAAATAGCCTGACGAAGAACATTCTTCTTGGCACGGGTATCCGTTTCTAGTCTCATTGCCTCGGTCCAAAGTCTTGTGGAACGGTCATTGTTCTTGATAGCATTGGCTGCAATAATCTTTGCATTGTGGCCTTCATTGAGTCGAATGTTTTCCAGCCATGCATCTTCGCTTTTGGGGCAGAGCTCACATCCTTTAGCGATGAGAGTCCTAGCAGCCACAATCCGACCAGCAAGCTCCTCCAGACGAGCCAAGGCAATCCAGCCGGGAGCATGCTTAGGGTTAGTCTTGGTGACAGAGTCTAACAGGGTACGAACTCGCTTGATATCGCCGACCTCAACTTCACCAGCTTTGGCTTCTGTTTGTGTCAAGCTAGTAAGGTAACCCTTCGGGTCGATATTCGTAGAGGTTCCGGATGTACCAGCAGATGCGGCCTGATCTAGTCGGACCTTCAGCACTTTATCACGCGCCGCACCGATATCCGCGAAGTTCATCATAGAGTCCTCGGTGGCTTCTCCTTCTGCAATATTCGTTTGCGTGCCATCTTCGGCGATTGTCGTGCCGTACTGAGCTGAGTCTCTCGCTCCAGCAATGACGCTATCCGGGACCGCATAGAACCGCTGTCGGGCATTCTGTTTATCGCGTCGATTCTTGCCCGTCAAATCTCCAACCTCCGGTAGGTTGGCCCAGTCTTCTTCAGATACCGAGGCTAGTGTGCGTTTGAGATCGGCGAATTGGTGTTGTATCTTCGGATTATTGCGTTCGTATTCTTGTTGTTCGGCTTTCTCTCGAGCTTCCCTGTAGGTGGCGAGCGATTTATGTCGGTACTCTGTCC